TTGGGCTGTGTTCTGTGTCTCGTTGTGATGTGTTCCGTGTCTCGTTGTGCTGTGTTCCGTGTCTCGTTGTGTTGTGTTCTGTGTCTCGTTGTGCTGTGTTCCGTGTCTCGTTGTGCTGTGTTCTGTGTCTCATTGTGTTATGTTGCATGTCTCGTTGTGCTGTGTCCCGTGTCTCGTTGTGCTGTGCTCCGTGTATCCTTGGGCTGTGTTCTGTGTCTCGTTGTGCTGTGTTCTGTGTCTCGTTGTGTTGTGTTCCGTGTCTTGTTGTGCTGTGTTCCGTGTCTCGTTGTGCTGTGTTCCGTGTCTCGTTGTGCTGTGTTCCGTGTCTCGTTGTGCTGTGTTCCGTGTTTCGATCGTTGTGTTGTGTTCCGGTCTCGTTGTGCTGTGTCCCGTGTCTCGTTGTGCTGTGTCCCGTGTATCTTTGGGCTGTGTTCTGTGTCTCGTTGTGTTGTGTTCCGTGTATCTTTGGGCTGTGTTCTGTGTCTCGTTGTGTTGTGTTCTAAGTCTCGTTCTACTGTGTTCCTTGTCTCGTTGTGCTGTGTTCCGTGTCTCGCTGTGCTGTGTTCCGTGTCTCGCTGTGCTGTGTTCCGTGTCTCGCTGTGCTGTGACGAAATGATATAAAACTGACGACATATAAAATAAGACATTTTTACATTGAAATACATATTTTTTTGGGGAAATATTTTTACCTATGTAGATATTATATACTAGCAAATTCAACAATTAAAAAACAACCAATCGACGCGATCGATACACACGGACACAAGTTAGTTTTCTAGGAGAAAGTTTATTGGGACCAGTTGGGTGTGACCTATATGAGGCATGGGCCGAGAAGGTTTACTATTCGCAGTGGCCTATATGAGGAGGCATGGGCTATCATGGTGCAATAGTTGAGGTTGTTTACTATTCATAGTGGTCTATATATTGCATTGGTTGATGTGGTTTACTATTCGCCGTGGTCTATATTGAGATGGCACTACAAGTCCGGTTACATGCTTGTGGGTTTTAGTAGTTCATTAAAAGCTATTTTTATTCGCAGTGTCAATTATCAGATTCAGCCATGAATTTGCCCATGCAAAAATACGCCCTTATTTGGGGTCTAGAATTTCAATAAAAATGATTGTCAAATATTCTTGACCACCTAATAGTCCATGAGCCAGTTAGGTTGCCGGTACCATCTCGAGGGGTTGTTGGAAGAGCCTCGCGAAACAAACAGATCGAATAGCTTCACCTTCGCGGTGGTGTGCCATTACGCATAGAAAATAGTTCCTTTTTGTTTCATGAATTTTATGCATTTGTAGACTCCTTGTGTGTTTGGGGTCTTTTATTGATAGTAATA